CCCCCCCCCCCCACCCCTAGCGTTTTTTTTATCACTGTCCAAGACATCCACCTGTCTAAGGCAACCTCTTTTCTCAACCTCAATTGGTGACCATTTCGGAGAGTTTCGACTGAGTTTTTAAAGCCGAAGGAAAAGTAAGCCAGACAAGGCCTCCCGTATGATAACACGAATGAGATCCAAGTCCAGGAATGTGCTGATTTGTGGGCTGGAGACAGAGCTGAGCTGTCCAATCGAACTCCCGAGAGATTATCCAGCCCTCAGATACAGGAGTCCTGTGCCTAAATTTGCATACAAGTTGTCTGATGAAATCACGCTATTCGCTTCTACCTTTACTTTCCTATAAACTTTTATTTGACTCCTCGTCTCTGGAATTCACGTTAGAAGACTGGGGAAATAAACTAGGGACAAGAGAATCATCGTGAATTAAAAATCCATAAAGGTCGTGTTGTATGTTTTAAAGTACGGTTTTTTAAGCGCGGATCGATACTCTTAGTCTTATCTTATCTTGTTTTGTCTTGTCTTGCCTTGTCTTGCCTTGCCTTGCCTTGCCTTGTCTTGTCTTATCAAGAAGCCTGTAGAGTGTGTTCCGATCCACCACCTCGGTGACGTAGATGTTGCGGGAGCGTTATAACCTGTCTGCTAAGCATAATGTCGTAAAACAATACTGGTGAATAATTTCTGCCATTTTTTTCGGAGGAGTGAGGTGGTTAAAGCGAGAGATTGCTTGGTGTAACGCATTTTCAAGCTCTGAAATAGTATTTCCAGGCTTGTTTCTATAGTGTTTTGAATTGTGTCTTTCAAAACGTAAAGAAGTACGCCCCTAGAAGCTGTTTAAAGGTGAACTTCTCTTTTCAAAGAGGGCAGACGTACTGTGTTTGTTTACCCTTCTACCTGCATAACTATCGTCGTATTCTGATGTAGATTCTGGCACTCTTGCATGGATAGGTGGACCGTTGTTCCGTGAAAAATGGCAAATATGGAGCATAGTAGTTTGCTTAAGTGATAGCACAGTTAGCTCATTATTTGTTACAACATTGTTCACTCTCTCTCTTTGTCTCTCTCTCTCTCTCTCTCTCTCTCTCTCTCTCTCTCTC